TTCCGAGTCATCCAAGGCAACCCACCTAATCTTTAATGTGCTGCCCTAGCCCACTCACTGGCCAGGGTGACCCTGACCTGTTGAAGGTGGCGTGGCTGGTGAAGCGTGCTCCACAAACTGCACAGTTGGACAGCTGGTCCTCTGAGTGGATCAGGAGATGTCTCCCAAGGGATCCTGGGGAGCTGAGGGCTCTGCCACACACAGGACACAGGTAGCTCTTGGCACTCACCACCGCTCCAGTGTGCTGCAAAACAACCACTCAGGTGGTAGTTACACATTGCCCAGCTCCTGCCCAGTCCAAGGCATGCTCAAACCATTCGGTTCAGCCTCTTGGAATGGGAACCATTTAGCACTAAACCTCTGCCAGCTTTTAGACTAAGCTCAAGACAAGTAACTTGGTGTGTCAAACAAGGAGGAAACCTCTTACGGCTCAACTCCAGCGCAGGAGAAAAAATTAAGGCCAAAACACTTGGATTGTAAGACCTGACCCTTGTTTTCAGGAATGCATTTGAGGAGCTGCTGGTGCAGGACAAAATGTGACTCAATTAATAGCAAGGCAGGATGCTGGTGAGGAAGCACTTAGATGGAGACACCTGGTACAGGTAAGTGGCCAATTCAGTTCTGCTTCATTCATTTTACTACAGACTTTGATGTGCTATGAAGAAAGCACTGACAACAAAACCTAAGATTTAACCCCAGATTTCTTGCAAAACTAGAATAATTTTGAGGAAGAACAGCTATTCTCATGGGTAATTACAGGAACTGTAATGAAATATAAAATAAATTATCAGGAGGAAGGTTTCTTTTCTCACTGAATGATGTAAAAATTGCTTCCATGTTTAGTTTGAAGGAACTGCCTGGTTTTAGCCTGAAGTACTTGCAGAGACTGCCTTGGCATTGAGTTATGTTTTCCAGATCTGTAGACCAGAGCCTTGCTAATTCTGTCTCCCAGACACCCTCTGGTCCCTGGACACAGTCTACAGCTGTAAACTTCAGTCACATCCTAGCTAGAAACTCAGTTCTGTGTTTGCAAAGACCAGAACAAAATTACCCTGTGCTTTGAGTTATTTCTGGATTTTGGTCTCTTCAGGCCAGAGACACTGCAGAGTTTGGAACTATCCCTACCTGGTATACATGTGCAATGAGCTGATCTCTGCTCCCACACTCCAGCTGGCAGAGGGGGCATTGTGACAGTCCCAGCATGGGCTCAGCGTTCACACTCTCAGGCACCTAGGGGCAGGAAGAGGCACTTCGGTGTAAGGCACACAGACCCCGCGGGCACACCACCCTTCCTCAGCTCCTCCCAGGGCACGGCGGGTGCTGTGTGCCCCGTCCTGCCAGGGCTGCTTTGGGTGCTTGACATCTGAAAGGAAACTCCTTCCTGTAGCCTCTGAGCAAAACTCCTGCATCTCACAGAGAGGAGGCAGAGGCCTCACAGCCTCACTTGCACCCAGCACAAGTGACTCTAGAAGGCAGGGCCTGTTCTGTGGCAAGGGGAAGCCAACTGGAGAATGGCACCAGAACCAAGGGAAGGGAACACACTCTGCAAACATCTTGGCCAGTTTGTGCCTGCCGTCTCCTGTTCTAGGAAGCCAAAAACCTCTTCATACCCTTCCCTCCTGCCAGGAGACATTGTTTGGAGGAGGTGGGAGGGAGAGAAAGATAAAGAAACATGATGAGGCGAGGAAGTGTTTAGACAGTACCCTTCTCTCTCCCTGCAGGCTACAGTGAGTGCAGAGCCAGTACACACTTGCCTCATTTTCTCTCATCAGTGGGGTTCCAGCCACAGGTCGTTCTGCATTTTCTAATTCCTTCTTCACTTTCACCATTGAGCCATCTTCCTCAGACGTATGGGAAGAAACTTCATCCTGAGTGGTTTCCTCATCATCACTGCCACCTAAAATATGCAGAACAGTTATACCAAGTGTCAGGACCCCGAGGGCCCTCATAGGCCTTAACTGTCCTGACCAGCACTACAAGGGGCCTCCCCCCACCCCCTTCCACTAGGGGTTCCAGTTACACTCAGACTAGGGCACCTGAGTCCCCAGGCATGGCCTCTTGCACTGCCTTGCTCGACAACTGCCAGGTGGAGCTGCTGCTGATCCCACCCTGCTCTGGTGAAATGGGATTGGGTCCCATGGCATTGCCCAGTCTGTGCTGTGCTGGTCCAGTCCTTAGGACAAAGTCCTGTGCTGAAGCAAAGGGCAATCCCAGAGGAAGAGCTGGGTAAGGTGGTCCTCAGAGGACCCACACACACTGTGCAGCCCTCAGCCTCACCCCTTCCCAGAGTCTCCCCAGTCTACTACCTTGGTGTTACTGGAAGGGGCAGAACTCACTGCTGCTGGAGTCAGGGTCCTGCAGTGGACGAATTGTTGGCCTTTGGTCCCCAAGAGTTCCAGAAAAGTTGTTTTTCATCATGGCTTGGCGGGCTTGCTCCTCCAGCCCTGCAAAGACTTGCTCCCCTAGCAGCCACAAAGACAAAGAGTCAGACTGGTGCTGTTCCACTGCTTCCAGTACCAAGGCTTGCCAAAAATACAACAGGCATGGGGCTGCTCACCTGCACTGTGCAGAACCTCTGGAGTCACCTCTTGGAAAGCACTTAGGTCACTTCTCTGCTTGCCTACCCTGCCACACCAGCCTGTGGCACCTGCTGATGTGAGTCCAGTGCCTGGATGTAGAAGAGTCTCCTAGTGGCAACACGCAGCACTGGGCTGCCCTCTTCATACTATGTGTATGCCACTCCAGCCACAAAACACCTGTGACTCCTTACATCTGCCATAAATAGCCAGGTGGCTCTTGCTGCTGCCAAGCTATCCACCAATATCCTACAGCACAGTTCAGGGTGGGCAGAAGCCCCTGGGGACTATGACAGATCAGGGCTAGGTCTGCACAGATCTTCTAACTTATTAATCTTATTCCTGGCTATAGCAGGCATTTTGCACAAAAACAGCACCTCCCTAAGAGCCTGGTACCCCACCTGTCCTCCACAGTGATATGAAGACTGGGGGCTGTCCTTAGCATGCTGTCACCTTCTGTCCCAGGAGGGATGAAGCTGCCTTTACAGAAGGTGTCTATGCTTGGAGCTGGTGTTCTGTGCAAATAATGGATAGAAAACTACCTTGCCTTGCCCAGGAACGGCTCCAACTAAAATAAATCCCATTGGCACTTCATGTGCTCGAAACAGAAACCTAAGGGAATGAACCCAGAGAGCTGAGATTCCTGTTTTGTCCTAAAACAATCTGTTTCGTTGAAAGCAGTGACCACTAGCACCTCAGCTCAATGGGAGATGGCAAACACCTTGAAAGACAGTAGTTATTTGTGCTCTGAATTAAAACTTCTTACAGCAATCCCTGCTCAAAGAAGTTTTGGTTCCAGAGAATAAAAGCCAACCGTTAATCTTCGTATTAAAGCAAACAAATGACATTGTTCCAGGTGTAGTCGTGATTTACCTTTTCCAGTGGATGAGCTGGGAGGCTTGGGAAAGGTGCTGAAGCTCCTAGCAGGGTGGCTTTTGGGTTGCATTTATCAACTGATTTGTAAGTGCTCAAGAACCATTCAAAGTACAAATGTGGAAACGCCAAGGAAAACGCAGTGCATTTTTCACATAAAAATCAAAATACAGCTTTCAGAAGACAACATTACCTTTTAGTAGAGGGCCACAGCTGGCACCAGTATAACCAAGAAATTGAACTCATGAGAGAGAGCACCAGTCCTGATATGAGGACAGGTACATTCCCACATGCTGAACTGTTTCAGCTAGTGTTGCTCAGAAGTTCCACTGAGACAGTGAGAGAAGAGTTTTAGTTGCCAATGTCCCCATGTAGGTTTCCAAAAGCATTCGAAGGCTTTTATCATTTTGTTTCAGAAATGTGAGAAAAGGTGCTGTAGAGAAAATTTGAGAACACAATCTATGTGCCTGAGGAGAGGTGCTAAGGAGCACCAAGTCTATGTGTCATCTATTTGTCATTCCAGCACTGAATAGTTTTTGTGACCTGGAGTGCAGTTTTTATATCTGGACCACAGCCTCACAGTGGTGGGACTGAGATACAGACTGTACAAGCAGCAGACAGGACAGAATTCCAGTGCCTCTCCAGCAGAAACCCACAAACCACCAAGATAAAAGTCCATAGACAAAAAAAGCATTGCAAGAGAAAGAGAAAGCACAGTGAAATGAGGAAACCTGCAGAACACAGGACAGATGTAAAACTATGATGGGAAATGTACTGCTACCTTTGACAGAGTTCCAAAATGGAATTCCCAAATGCCACTAAAGCTGCTCGTGGAAGCAATTACATGTTTGTTTTCTTCCACCTTTTCCCTTTCAGACAGATTACACTCCCACTGTGCAGCAGCCTAGAGTCCAAAGGCAGGGCAGGTTCCTGCTCAGCTATACAAACCAAGCACACAATCTGCAGGAGCTGGGATCTTTATCTGAGGTAACAGAAGAAGGAACTCCTCCCATAAGGAACACTGGCATCAGTCACATAACTGAGAGCAGTTGTGTGTGCCTTTAGCCTCTGTACAACTCCCCCAGAGCCCAGTGAGCATCGACTCAACACCGTGCAGAGAACAACCAGCTTACAGCCAGCAATGCAAGCTGTTAACCAAACCCATGCTGTTAGCAGGCTACATCCTGTGCATCCTCCCCAGCTTGCATCTAAAAACATCACGGGACTGGGAAACGCAAACATGGAAAAATACTGTCTTCCACTTCTACAAAAATTCTTATGTATTATAATAATAGTGTACAAAAGAACTTAGGAAAGCATGTCCTGTTCATCTACTGATGGACTAAGTCCTACTTTGATGAAGCTTTACAGCTTTAATATTTGACAGGTCCAGGGTTGTGTTTTGATGTTTCTGCACACACATGCTCACAAACAGACACCCCCATCTCCACCCCACTTTGGGTACACTTCCATTCATTTGGAAGAGGAGTTAGACAGGCAACAGCTTTAGGATCACTGCCATAAGTAAAGGATGTTATGCTCAATAGTGAATTCACAGACTCTTCTCCAGAAGTTTATTTATTAAATACAAAAAGCGCTGCAGGCTGACCACAACACCAAAACAAGTCACTGTAGTTGTTTACAAACAGCTAGAGATGTAGGACAAGAGAGATCACACAAATGCCTCTGCTTTGTATTCCATTCTCCTCTCCATACTGCTGTGAATGAGTGGGATGCCAAGTGAGCAGTGGTGGAGGTAGGGGACAGCCCTGTTGTACTGTGTAACATGGATAGGCATGACTGCTAGGGTCTGCTGGGGTATCAGCCCTGAGCCCTTCCCTTCTTGAACTGTATGAATGCAGGATAACTCCCAGGTGCTCTGGAAAATAAACACAGAAACAAACAACTCCCACCCCAAATCCACAAAACAAAATCCAAAGGGACTACATCATTCTCCTGCCTTCCTTCCTAAACAGAATGGTCTCTCAGAGATGAGTCAGTTTATTCCCTCCTTGTACATCAATTTAAAGTCCCTGTTCATGTAGGTCTTCTCTGTGTTCCTGGACCTGAAATTTGCAAGTCTTTCCACCACTGTGGATCTATTCCACCTGCCCCATGGCTATTCTGGGTTGTCCACACTGCTGTAGTGGTTACTGAAATGAAAAACAACACAATTGAAAGGGTTAATAATGGCAGTCCACGGAGCCCTTCAGAACCAAGGGATTTGATGCAAGTAACATTTCTGCTCGGTTGTGAATGCTGGGTGCTATTTCTTGCAAGATACTTATCCCTCAAAGTGGGAATATTAGAGACAGGAGAATCCAAGGAACACCAAAGAGCACAGTACGTGTGTTAGGGAGAGAGGGGAGGAAATAGAGGATTAGTGGGATTTTGGAACCATGATAAATAAGAGCTCAGAAGCAGGAATTAATCTCACTAACAAAAGCTCTTCTCCAGAGTTCTAAAATAAGCATCAGTTGCAGAGAGCACAAGCAATAAAAAGCAAAGCAGCTTGTGGACAGCAGGGAGAGAGAAGTGCATGCTAATACCTGCAACAAATTTTGGCAAGCACGAAGATAGCAAGTGGTCCATGACTGATGGGATTACAGCACAGTAACAGATGAATGCAAGAACAGATGAATTGCTTAGAGTTTTTAAACTTTTATGCTGCATACTCTGGGAGAAAATAAAGACCAAATTGAATCAATTAAGGTATCTCCACACAAACAATCTAACTGCGATTTTCCAACAAGTATATTCCATGATTACTGCTTCTGTTTGTTAGCACTTTGTCAGGTGTTTTTCATACACCACATGGCAAAATAAAATTATATTCTTAAGAGCCATTTATGTGCTGCAGGGGAAATGACTACAATTAAAACTGTGGGACTAACTATCATGCACAGAAAGACCTTTGTGATAAATTTTACCACAATCTTTATCATTGTTTCAGTATTATTTTGAGTTTCCTTACGTATCAACTTCTATTTAAAACTGTTTTGATTTGTAACCATACAATCTCCTAGCTGGTTGCTCTGCTTGCCAAGCAGTGTGATTCTGTCCTAAGTGAGGACAACAAATCATATTGTTGTGAGAGCAAGGTGGAATGAGGGCCATGCCAAGCCTGGAAAGTAATCCTGGAAAGACGAGACACCAAGCAAGCCAAGGAGAGGAGATTGGCAGCTGTCACTCGCCCTAGTCAGTCCAAGAAGGAAAAGAAGACGGAGTGGCCATGCAAGGAAGAAGTAGGCACCATCCTCCCATCAAATTTGTCCAGTCATATATGCACAGTCGTATTTATGCAAATCCAAAAGGCAGTTCCCCAGCCCCGTAGCCTGCCAAATCAGACCCCAGCTGCAGGCAACTGCGTAAAAAGCTGCATACCTGCTGTCCCTTTCATTCCTCTCCTCCCAACCACTGCAGTCCCTGTGAAGAAGTCCCAGTAACGTGTCTGCTATGTCTCAGCCTGACTCCTCATTCTGCTGGCTCACCCCGTTCTTGGAGCCGATGTTTTCTCCGATTATCCTCGTCAGGGCACTGCACGGCATTTCTGGGCCCTCCAGACACACAGCAGGCTAGGTAGACAGAGAAGTCCCAACGATTTCGTGGTGTTCATCATAAGACAGACAAGATTTTCCATCCCAAGGTGAAGACATCACCATTGACAAGTTTTTGGTATCTCTCAGTCCCCTTATTTTCTTGTAGTCTTACTTGCTGCTCTCGATGGCTCCTGCTGAATAGTTGCTCTATAGCAACATTCTGCATGTAAAGGAGATGAAGAGGTCCCAGAATTCCACTCCATGGCATACCTGATGCTATAACCTCCTGCCCCCTGGTAGCATGTTTGTCAGACAGCTTCCTCCGCAACCAAGACCAGACATACAATCATTGTATTGCAGATAAGAAAACCAATGTTCACTGTGAGAACAGTGCACAGCTGAATTTTGTGATATGTCAAATTTTGTACATAACAGTACAAGCTCCTGAAGAACATAACCCTTATGCAGCGAAGTGCAGGAAAGCACCCAGCTAAACACCACAGAAACTCTATCTGCACCATTAGAGCTGCTGTAGCTCTTGGTTTCCATACTCAAGCGATCCCGACTCCAGCCCAGGGGAGACAGCTTAAGTGCATACATGACATAAACCTGAGCTCAATGGCAGCAGTAATACCTGGGCACTCTAAGAAGCAGAAGTGTGTGGACACAAGACATGTTACTGGCATCACAGGACAAAATACCAGACATAGCAAATTTCTCTAAGAATGACAACTCCAAAGTCATTAATGTACTATCAGATAAATTACACCTATAGTCTGCCCACTAGGGAACCCAGCAACCAGAAGCAAGAATCGGAGAGCGCAAGGCAATGCAGGTGCCACAAGCCACACTCCTTGAGAACCTCACTCTGGCCAACAAGGACAGCTCTGCCAAGCTGCCCAGCCAGTGGACAGAGGCAGCTCTTCCCAGTGCACTCACTGAGTGTGCAAGGTGTCAGCTCCAGCCCAGCGTTCCCCCGTGCACAGAGAGCAGCATGCACAGATGCCAGTGCGTGCCTGTGCACAGAGGCAGCACACAAACACACAGACATGCAAGCCAGCAGCACCAGCAATGAGGCAGTGTTAGGGCTACAGCACTCAGCTCTGTCTCATACTCCTGACAGGTACTGCAGCCAAAAAAACACAGGGCCCTCTCAGCAGCCTTGCTCTCACAGATCTACAGAAATGGAAACTTGTTTTCCTAATTCCAGCCCAAATTCCAAGCATGTTTCCAGCCACAAACCTGGGTATGAACAAGGGCATAGTTTCAAGCCCCTCAAATTCCCTCTGCTGCCAAACAAGAGCTACACATGTGCTGTTTCCCCTCTGCAGCCAAACCTCCATCTTTGTCTCCCAGCTCCACTGGTGCCTGGCTGTAGCACTTCCACAAGAAGTGCTGATGCACAGCATCTTCAGCCCGTCCACTGTCAAACAAATGCTAAGCTCCTGGCAATGATGGAGGAACAAAGATTCATCTTACCACCTCAGTTCAAGAATGATCTGGCAGACAGCATGTATTTGTCTTGTAAATTACTTGGCCACCACCTATTCCTTGACAGGAAAGAGTAAATGGCTTTATTTCACTATCTGGTAGGAAACCGAGGTACAGTGAGCTTAAGTAACATGCCCAAGGCCAGTCCACTGAGTCTGTGGTAGGATGAATATCAAAGCCCAGGACTTGCTGGCTTTTAGCCAGCATGCTCCAACCACCTTGCCTAGAACTTCCTTTGCTACCCAAGAGAGGCGAGAGCCCCAAGCCACATTTTCTAGTACTATAACTTGTACTTTTGACAGTGTGAATGCAAAACCCAGCTACAGGCCCTACACATACACACCTACCTTTACAGCATCAGCTGTTTGTTCAAGCCTATCCCTGTCCTGCTATGCCAGGACACAGCCAGCTTCCCTGATGCACAGAGCTCAGTTTCTCTTCTTATACACCCTAAGACAAAACATGAGTAATCACCATTCCCCACAAGCTGTCCCTTCCCATCGCTCCCATCATTCCACTCCTCCCCACCTCACTCCACAGCCCAGCCAGAGCAAGGGTCCCACAATGCTGTGTAACATCATACTCACAGTGAACTTTGTTAGGAGTGGTCTGTTTCCGACGGGACATGTTTCCCTGACCTGGGAGCACAGAGTGTTCCTCCCTTCTGCAGAGGCCTCATCTGAGAATAGAAGAGTCTGTCACACACTTCACTAAAACCCTCCAAGTCCCTGGCCAAGCTCCGCTGGTTGTCCCAGGGTCATTCTCCACCCTTCTGCCTATGGGGCTTGTTCTGCACCACCACACCTGGATTCCAGGCCAGCATCCAATACAATCCACAAGCATATCACAAAGCACTGTGCATGGGCAGTCGTACCCAGTTCTCAGGCAAAGGTTTAAGCAATTCTGCCCCTCTCAAAAGGTGAGTGTCCTCTTCAAAAATTACTGTAACCTCAGTCCCAACACCCTTCTCCCTCCTGCCCATTCCTGCAGCCTAATAATCATCCCTGTCGTTGAACCGACAGAGGAAGGTGGCATTTCCAGCAGTCCTCTCAGAGAGACAGACAAAAGGAGGAGCTGTACCCATTTCCCACAAGACACATGGACACGGAGATCCCGTCAGCCTCCTCACAGGGACAAACATACGGATTTCATCAGCCTCTCGCTGACAAGGGACACACAGACATGCCATCAGCTTTCTTTGACAGACGGACAAAAAGATCCTGTTAGCCTCGCACTGCCAGATGGACACAAGGATCCATCAGCCTTCTCAGATAGATGGACACGAAGATCTCGGCAACCTCCCCAGACAGCGGGATCCAGCCGGCAATCCCAGCACACGGAGGCGGCAGTAAGGAAGGGCCGCAAGCGGCCGGACATACAGACAAAGGGACGCGACTCCTTTGGCATCACCACGGAGGCGGGAGCCCTGCGCGGGCCCCCGAGGTCCCGACCGGGCATCCCTGACAGACACACCAGCCCGGGCAGCGGAGGTCCGGCCGCGGGGCCCGTTCCGCCCCTCGCGGGCGGCAGCCCTAGCCCGGCCCGGCTTACCCAGCCCCGCCGCAGGCGCCGGGAGGCGCGGACAGACAAAGGGCAGCGGACAGACGGACGGGCAAGATGGCGGAGGGCGCCGCCGGAGTGCGCGACGGGAGCACGGGCGCGGGGACCACGGCTCGTCCGCGGACCTCAGGTGCCGGCTTTTCGTCAGCTGAATCGTCTCACCTGTTTGCCATGGATCCGGCCCAGCGCGTCACTCCGGACCGCCCGAGGGAGCTCATCCGTGCCTGCGACGAGGCTCACTTGCTCCGGCCGCCTCCGCCAGCAGCTCACCGGGAGCTCTCGTGCCGCCCCGGCTCACCAGAATTTCGCACACCCTACAAGGCCAAAATGCACGGGTTTCGTATTAACTTAAACCCACCGCGCGTGTTATGAACTCGCGCACCTGCTGAGGGGAGAACCGCCCCGCCCCAGGGGCTCGGGGCCACCTCCTCTCGCGGACCACCGAGCGCTGCCGCGGGATCAGCGGGCCCGCTCGGAACGCCCGCTGGGCCCGCTTACCCGGGGGCTGCGGCATCAAGCCCAGGCCTGGGCTGGACTTCGCTGCGACTCTGCTTGGCGGTGGCGCCGGCGCCGTGCGGCCCTCAGAGAGCAGAGGACCCGGCGGCCAGGTCACAGCAGCCGGCGGAACGCCGCGTTGCCGGAACCGCCGCGCCGGGGGCGGGCACCGGCGGGCGTCTATCAGGCGTGGAACCATTTGGCCGAGCGCAGGATTCCTCCGCCAGGCCATGTAGTCCCTCTGCGCCGCTCTCCCAGACCGTGCCTGCGCCTCCCCGGCCGCCGTTGCGCCAGGGCTGCGTTTGCGGAAGCGAGCGGGACAGCACCTGCCGCGCCAGCTGGACTGTGCCCCGGGCTGGGTGCGGGGAGTGCCGGGACTGGGTGCGCAGAGTGCCGGCTGTGAGGATCACTCCGCACGAGATGAAAGCTTGCAGACGCCGCACGCCATTTTGGGTGGCAGAGACTTGCGGAGCGACGGGAGGTGAGGCCGTGGCCGGGCCGTGGGACGGGTGAGCGGGGCCGTGGGGAGCGCTCGGCGTCTGAGGAGGTGATGAGGAACCCTGCCCCAGGGTGTCCCGCAGTCCTGGGACCCGCCCCTGGCATCTGCTCTGCTCGTGCTGTGGGATGTTCCCTTGGTGTCACTTAGTTGGGGAGGAAGAAGGGTTTTTTTCCTCAGTGCTCTGGTGCAGCTGCGCCGGTGGAGCACTTGCGGGGCCTCCTGCGCACTGTCCCTGGGCACTGGGCCAGGCTCGGCGAGTCTCGCCTTGCGGCTGGTGTGCCTGGCGGCTGCCCTGGCAGCCGGATCAGGTCACGGCTCGCTCCGCGCTGGGCAGTGCAGCCGCCGGCAGGGAGGGATGGGGATGTGAGATGCAAACTGAGGCCTTTCTATGTGATATCTTTTAAGGAAAAGCTTTTTTTTTTGATGAACGGTTCTTGGCAAACATAATTAAGTACTGTTAGAGCTTACTTTTTGTAGGGTTAATACGTTGAACTGGTTCCTGGGAGAGTAAGAGCGTGTTCACTAGGCAGGAAGAATGTGGGGAGGGTGGAATGATAGCTTTTTCCTTCTGGTGACGAGATTGTTACAACCTTAGTTTCTACAGTCCTCGAGTGAATTATATAGCTGGTTTATAACTTGTATTTTGATAGGACAGAGGTGGGCTTGGCTCTTCCGTTGACTTTTCTGTGTTTTAAAAAACGTCCAGGAAGCTTCCTCGAAGTTTCTAAGGCTAATCCTGTTGGTCTTGGTTAGATGCAGGATTGTGAAGTGGGAAAAGTAATAATGAGCGTTCGAGGTTCAGTCACTTATAATTAACTAAATCCAGGATTGGCAGACCAAGGCTTGTTTGTTTGGGGAATTTCTTGGCCTCTCCCGCAGTAAAACAGCGTTTGGTGTGCTGACTGGCAGTTCTTGGTCCCAGTGACCATCCCTCTTCTCCACAGAAAGTGTTAATCATGTTGGGCTCTGGGTTCAAGGCGGAGCGCTTGCGAGTCAACCTGCGACTGGTCATCAATCGCCTCAAACTACTGGAGAAAAAAAAGAGTGAGTATTTAAGGGAGCAGGTGGGACCCAGGATGCTTTTGGGGCTTAGGAGGCTTGAGAAGGTATTTCTTCATTCGGGGTACTTTCATGGGCCAAGTATGGAGTAGCTTTTTGATCTCCCTTGCTGGACCTAGGTCTTACAGCCTACTCCAGTGCACAAGGAGCTGGAAGAGGAGGCTGTCCACAGTCTGGCCTCTGTCCACCTTCCTGATAGCTGTTGGAGTGCAGTTTGTGAGATGGTAGCTGTGTGTGCTAACAGCACAGTGGGGAGCTCCCTGGGTGCTGTGGGTTATTCTCCCCACCTGCTCTGCGCTGACACAGGTTAGGTCTGTGGTCCTGGCTAACTCTGTAGGGAGGTTGTAGTTGCAGGAGTGTTTCCAGCAGCCTGAAGTCCACTTTCCTTTCTCCTATGAGTTGAGTGTGCTCAGGCCTGGACACGAGGGCTCTGCCAAACCATAACCGAGTGGTTTGATGGGGAGAGGAGGGTGGTGGCTTTATGTGTGATGGGGACTGTGGGCGGTCTGGAGGCAGCAGCCCAGGCCAGCACAATGACCCGGCTCGGGATGTGTGCTGCAGCTGAGTTGGCGCAGAAGGCAAGGAAGGAGATTGCAGATTACCTGGCAGCTGGAAAAGATGAGCGTGCCAGGATTCGTGTGGAGCACATCATCCGTGAAGATTACCTTGTGGAGGCCATGGAGATCCTGGAGCTGTACTGTGATCTGCTGCTTGCCCGCTTTGGCTTGATCCAGTCCATGAAGTAAGCTCTGGCTGAGAGGGTCCTGGACTCGGGAAGGGGCACTGCTGGGGGCATGTCTGCGGTACAGAAGGGCACCCGTGTTTGTCTCTCCAGAGACCTTTTCTTCCCCTGTGTAGGGAAGGCTGTGGAGCCTAGTGTATGGGATGGAAACTTAAAGGCTAAGCAGACTGAAGGCAGCCAAGGCTGGGTGTATGAGGTGGAGAGAGAGTTGTTTTCTTTGGTCGTAGGGAGCTGGACTCTGGCCTGGCAGAGGCAGTATCGACACTGATTTGGGCTGCACCACGCCTCCAGTCAGAAGTGGCCGAGCTGAAGATTGTGAGTAGGGTTTCTTGAGGGATGCTGCACGTGGAGGGTGGGAGTGATACTGCCAGATCTTGATGGAAGTCCTTGTCTGGGACTTTGTATCATTAAAACAGAGGACTTTATGGGCTCTGCAGATAGAAACCAAATGTCCTTGGAGCATCTGGGGTGGCTGCAGCTGCTGAACTGGGGTGTTCAGTGGGAGCAATGGGGGAGGGAGGTGGGTATGTGGTTTGAGGTGGGGGAAAGCAGGGGTGTGCATGTTCTAGAGTTTCTCTCTTGCTGCAGGTTGCTGATCAATTGTGTGCTAAGTACAGCAAGGAGTACGGGAAGCTGTGCCGGACAAACCAGATTGGGACAGTCAATGACAGGGTAATGAACTGGTAGAACAGGTAGAGCTGGTAGAGCAGCCACACCTACTGAGACTTGCTGCCCCTTCGACCCGTGGCTAGTGGCTGATGCTTGCAGTCACTCTGGAGCATGGCAGGTGCTGTGCAGCCAGGGCCCACCTGCACTGGAGGATGGTGCTGAGGCCCTGCTCTGCTGGCTGGGGATGGGGAAGGGTAGAGCAAATAAGAGCCCTGGCCTGTTGCTGCCTGCAGCATGCTGTACTGGGTGGAGAGGCCTCCCCAGGGCTGCCCGCTGCTCCCTGCAGCTGGTAGCCCTGGCTGGGATGGCACTGGTACAGAGCTGTTGAGTGCTGCATTGCCCTGCATTGTTCCAGCTGATGCACAAGCTGAGTGTGGAAGCACCACCCAAGATCCTGGTGGAGAGATACCTCATCGAGATTGCAAAAAACTACAATGTGCCCTATGAGCCTGACTCAGTGGTGATGGTGAGTGAGTCCCAGGATGTGGCATTTCAGTGAACTGGGTGGTCCTTGTGCTTTGGTGTATTCTAGACAGCCCCAGCATAGCATGATCCTTGTTCTTTCATACACCCTTATGGCATGTGGCAGTAGTTACATGTACTACAGCCTGGTTCCTGTTCTCTTTCCCATTAATACACTCTATAGCTGCTCTCTGTTCTGTTCTTGTTGTGTATTCTCATCTTGTCCATTGACAAATGCTGCATCTAATGCTGTACAGAAGGCTGTGATCATAAAAGAGGTGTGTTGGTGAGCAGAATTCTCCCATCCTTTCCAGGCTGAAGCCCCGGCAGGCGGAGAGGCAGATCTGATTGATGTGGGCTTCACGGATGATGTGAAGAAGGGTGGCGGAGGTGGTGGATTTACAGGCCCAATGATAGGTCATGATGGGTTAGTACCCATGCCTGTGATGATGCCTATGCCCATGCCAACAACAAATCCACCCTTCTCCTATCCACCTCCAAAGGGACCGGTAAGTTCCTGGGCTTTGTGTGTTTCCTTTTTCTGTGCAAGACTCCCATTGTGGTGCTTAGCCCTGTGCCCACTGACTGTACCTGGTAGCTCAGTGTGTCAGAAGGCCATCTTCTTGGCGTGAGACTGCATGGGATGGAGGCTGTTGGCAGTGCAGCTGAAGCTTAATGTTGCTTCTTGACTGTGGAGGTTCCTACCCCTGTTCTCCAGCCAGCCCTCTTTGCCTTCAGGGAACAGAGGAGTCCAGACTTAACTCCTGAGGCAGTCTCTGACTGCCAGGCTTTTGTCCAGGAGTTGGAGCTGCACTTTTAAGTTGGTAGGCTGGTAGTGTGCCAGGATTCAGTCAAGGAAATCAGGTGAGTGCTGTGGGGTGGGAATAGCACAGAAAAATGTGGGAGACCCCTGCCTTCAGACCTGCAAGGGGAGAAGACTGAGCCAATGGCTCTTGCAGATGATTTGTTTTAAGGGTGGAAGATAGGAGCTGAAAAGAACTCTGTTCTCTGAATTAAGTAATTAACAGGTTATCTATGTAGACTGGAGAGCAGAATAGTGGGATGGCTTGGAGTCTTAATATAATATGGTAGTGCTGAAGTACTTTTTGTGGAAAATCTGGGCCAAGTATCATCAGCTGGCTGTTGGCCCAGGCATAAACATGCTGAGGGCTTGTGGCAGGCCTGGGTCCTAGAGGTGCTGTTGAGGGCAATTTAAAGCCTTGTGTGAGCCAGAAACTTCTTTCCTATTCTGCAGTACTACACATAGGGCCAGAAATGGCAGAGTATTTCCTTTATTGGGCTGGTATTTCTCGTGCCTTGAGAGATGAAATGTTTACCTGTACTGGTTCTTTAGAACAACCCACAGTCCAGTTGGCTGGGGCTGCCTGCTCCAGGTGACTGCATCTGACTCAATACTTGGGAATCTCTTCCTTGTAAGCATAAACTCTTGCCCGCTTGGAAACTTGCCTGCATTTATCTAAGACTCTTATTTCCTGTGGCAGCTGTAGGCATGTGGTGTCTGGTGCATGACTGATCTCTCTGTACAGGAGAACTTCAGTGGCCTGCCAGTGGGGACCTACCAGCCTTTCACTAACATCCATCCACCACCAATTCCGGCAAACCCACCTACATATGAGTCCGTAAGTGCCTGAGCTGAATGGCCATTGCAGAAGGATCCTCAGAGTGTAGTGACAGCTACAGAGAAGGGAAATGTTTGTAAAGGATACTGCTGCCAATCTTTGGAGCTTTTGGGATGGTACTTGCTGGTGTAGTGAATCACTGAGTGCATATGATGGAAGGATGACTTGTGGAGAGAAGTTTCTCATTCAGCTCTGTGCTTTGGCTGCAAAGGAAAGCTGAGATTTCTCTTGCTGCTTTGTTAAAGTGGTGATAAACAGTTAATAAGCAGAATCCAAAAGTTCTGGTTTTTGCAGTGTGAAGGGTTTATCACTTTGAGTCTGTTTGGTTATGGCTTTTGAACTAATTAACAGCCTGGATGACAATTTTGGCTCACCCAGATGCTGTGTGTTTAAAGACTTCCTTTAACAGACTTTCCTCAGTCCTTGGGGACAGCAAAGCAGAGGCTGGAGACTTCCCTTTCTATGCTTGTCTGTGGTTTTGTTGCTGCAGTTTGTCATCATGTCTCACTCTGCTTTTGGTGACATGTTCTTTGGTTTTGCATTGTCTTGAGTAGGGAGGAGTACAGTTGAGCCTTGTGGGTGCTGACACTGTGTTCTCACAGGTGCAGGTGAACTGGGTAGGAATGGCTGTTGAGGGCTGCAGCATGTGGGGAATAAGAAGTTTTACTAGCACAGCTGAGTGTGCTGTGAGCCTTTTTCCCAGACAGACCAAGACCTGAGATGGGTCATTTCATAGCCTGCTGCTAGTCACAAGGGCCTGTCAGTGGTTTATGAAGAACGGCAGCAAGGAGCTGTGATGATGTGGATGAAGGGGGTAGTGTTTTGCCACTGGCGGCCTTGATAAATGTTTCAGACCTGATAGTGGATGTGCTCAATTGATCCAGTTCCAGGTCAGTGAAGCTGCTTTAGTTGACAAAGAGGGAGAGAAAAGCTGAAGAGCTGCCTCTGTTTCTTGGGAAGAGAGGCAGGTTGTTGCAAAGCCATGGCTGCTTGCTAGGGGTGGGGAGGAGTGTGCACTGCTCTGCTGGAGCTGTGCCTCTTGCCTGTGCCTGTGTGCTGGTGTGACCGTGTCTGCTGGGACAGAGCTGTAGTGACTGAGAGTCTTTTTCAGATTGATGAGCCTAACGCTGACAAGGATCCTGCTGCATTAGTACCTGGTGAGTATGTAGAGGTTTGGAAAACCTGGGGTATTAGGGGCTATTCAGAAAAACCCACTGGTACTGCCTGTTGCTAGAATGACTGTTCCTTTGTGGGGCTCCGTTTGGCCCAACAAGTGTGTGCTGATGGTGAGGTGCAGTGATACTTCTCTTACAAACAGGGCCTGAGCCCAAGCCAGAAGCTTCTAAACCAAAAGCTGGAGCTCCTAATACCGTTGATAACTTTGTGCTGCCTGAATTGCCATCTGTGCCAGACACACTACCAACAGCATCTGCTGGCGCCAACTCTTCTGCCTCAGAAGACATTGACTTCGATGATCTTTCACGGAGATTTGAGGAGCTGAAGAAGAAGACATAAAACTTCCTGGGCTGCGGGGGAAGGAGCTGTGACATCTCTCTGAAACAGACTCCCTTTGAAATTGGTTTCCTGTATTAACCTCCAATGAACGTGGTCTTCTTTTTGAGCTCTCTTCCTGCTGTACTTACACCAGGTGCTACTGCTTTCCTGATCTTTGCTGCTCCAGGAGATGAACTGTGGGGAATGTTGTGAGAGTGAGGCAGGGAAGAGCCCCTGTCAGTCTGGGTAGCTGTATGGGGAAGCTGTGCATGATGTTCTGGGCACCGTTCCTGGCTGCCTCCATGATGGCTCCGTGCCTGCCAGCAGAGGCTTTCTCTTGGGGAGCCCTCGATGGCCTTCACGGTGTTATCAGTGGGGTCTGTTTGCAGTTTGTGGAAGGGTGGCACTGTCTGCCTGGGCCCCACAGCAGGCAGAGCTAAGGAGGCTCTGCTGCTGCCTCGGGGTTTTGATGCAGCAGCTTTTCTCCCGGGTGCTGAGCAGCTCTGGACCACTGAGGTGAGGGGACGAGGCATGGAGCGTGGTCTTACGGGATATGCAGCAGCACCTTGTCTACCCTACCCGAGCCACGGGCGAGGCATTCCGGGACTGTAATGTACGTGTTGGTGGCACTGTCTGCAGCTGTCCCGTACGTGTCCGCGACGCTGCCCGCGGCTGTACAGCCCGTGTCCCGTCCTTGTCCGCTTCCCCGGGGGCTCGGGTCCTTTGTACCTCCTTCAATAAAGCGCGCTCCGGGGCTCGCCGTGTGCGCGCATCGCCGGGGGCCTCTTGCCGCAACCCGTGCTGTGTCGCTATTGGTTGGAAGGGTACGGCCTCCGCCAATCACGGAGGGGGGCTCCCGGAAGTGCCCTCGCGTGTTGGGTTGAGCATGATGGCGGCGCCGCTGCGCGTGAGCGGCCGGGGGTGTTGGGGGGACCCGGAGCCCGGGGACAGCCGGGCGGGGCCGGTTGCGGCTGGAGCGGGCAGGGCCGGGGCGGGTCGGGAAAAGACGGGATGGGATGAGACGGGTGGTGTGGGATCTGGGCAGGCGTGCTGGGAGGGAGCTGGGACGGGACGGGACGGGACGGGAGTGGTTGCCGGTAGGGGATCGGTGCGGCTGCCCTGCTGACGACCTGGCGCAGGGACGACTGCGGTCGCTGGCGCTGGGAGGCTGCGCGGTGCTCCTGGGAGCGGCGCTGGCGGCGGGCGACGAGCGGCTGTACGCGGCGGTGATGCCCGCGCTCCGGGCGCTGCCCCCTGAGGCCGCCCACGGCCTGGCTTTGCGCGCCGCCGCCCTCGGGCTGCTGCCCTCCGGCCATCCCGACGGCCCCGCGCTGGTGCGTCTCGAGGGCGGGGGAGGAGGGGGAACCGCGGCGCAGGGCGGGCAGTGGGGAGGTCGGAAGGGCGGCCAGAACAGAGGGATAGGATGTGACAGGTCGCGGGGTGCGCAGAGATCCCGTCGCACTCCGCGGTGGGTGACGAGGGACCCTCGGGCAGGCACCCAGTAAGGGCAGGGGAGGTGACCGGGTCTGTCGGGAGGGGGGTTGGAGAGGGGCTTTGGCAATGGTTCCTGGAGTCTGTGTGCTCTGACCCAGCCCCCGCCCCGCAGGAGGTTCGAGTCCTCGGGCAGAGATTCCGCAACCCATTGGGCCTGGCTGCTGGCTTCGACAAGCAGTGTGAGGCTGTGGACGGGCTGTACAAGATGGGCTTCGGCTTTGTGGAAGTGGGGACTGTCACGCCCGAGCCCCAGGAAGGGAACCCCAAGCCCAGGGTCTTCCGGCTGGCAGAGGACGAAGCGGTTATCAACAGGTGGGATGTGAGGACAGCTGTTGTGCCATGCCCTGCAGTCTGCCCGCCGCGAGAGAGGGTGCCTGTTTGGATGGTTCCAGGTGTTTGGTTTGTGCTGTGGTGGCTTTTGGTTGGATGTGTTGAGCAAAGCTGCAGAGACCACACATCTGCGTTGTGTTTCTCACATGTCCTGCTCAGGGCTTGCAGACATAACCCAGCCTTGAACCGCCTCTGCCCTGGTGCAGGTATGGATTCAATAGCCATGGCCATGTCGCGGTGGAGCGCAGGCTGCGAGCACGCCAGGAGACACAGATCAGGCTCACTGCTGGTGAGACAAGCTTTGCTCTTGGGGTCTGCAGGGTAGGTTTGGTCATCTCCTGGGTACCTGTAGACCAGGACTGGCGTGTAATGCCAGCATCTGGCACAGGAGCACCCCGGCTGAAGCCAAGAACACCTGGACAGCAAGACTCTCTTGGGGCTGTAGTCTCACCCTTGGTATTGTGACTAGGCACATTTCTCCTGCTGTTTTCTCTGGGATCAAGCTCCACTTGCTGCTTTGGGCAGGATGTGTCTGCTGATGTAGCCAAAGCCAAGAGGACCCCAGCTGGGCAGATCCTGAAGGCAACCTCTGCCAGGCTGAAGGCTGTGGTGCTGGGAGCTGCTGACTGGGCTGACTGTAGTGCTTCTGTGGTTGCAGGACAGTTCCAGGCCCATCTTAACTTTAGCTGGTCCTGGGACCTTCTTTTTCAGGTGCTCTGGCCATTGGGTGGTGGGTGGTCCTGTTGCCCTAGTTCAGCTGTGTCTGTGTTCCAGCTGGGATGCCTCTTGGAGTCAACCTGGGCAAGAACAAGAGCTCTACTGATGCTGCAGCTGACTACGTGGCTGGGGTCCGGACACTGGGCCCTTTGGCTGACTACCTTGTTGTGAACGTGTCCAGCCCGAACACCCCAGGGCTGCGGGACCTGCAGGGCAAGGCTGAGCTGCGGAACCTGCTGAGCAAGGTGGGTGCCCCCCCCCAGCCAGCCCAAATCACAGCTCCAGCACTAGATGCATCCCATCTTCTGGCAGCATCTGCACTGCTGCAGCCAGTGGATTTACCTGAGCACAGGGAAGAGTGGGACTGGCTTTCCCACGTGGCAGGTAGGACCACTAAAATGTCCCTGTCAGCTGCTGCTGTGGGGTGTACTAGGGCACTGTATCCCAACAAGGGGCTCAGGAGCAGTGGGGCATTGCCCTCCACTTGCTCCTGCAAGAGGGCAGCAAGCCATCACACAACTTCAGGCATTGCTGGGGTCCTGCCTGCTGTGTGCTCCAGGCCCTGTGTCAAGGGTGCCTTTCCTGTTTTTGGCGCTGTGTAGAGGAGCAGGCACTGTCTCTGTACTGCCTGTGGCAAGGGGTGTCTGTAGCTCCTACTTGGGAAAGGAGGCATCTCCCTGCCATGCACTGCCATGTGCATTGACAGGTGCTGGTGGAGAGGGACCTGCTGCCCTGCAAGCGTAAGCCAGCCGTGCTGGTGAAGATTGCCCCTGACCTCACTGCACAGGACAAGCAGGACATTGCCAGTGTTGTCTGTGAGGTGAGGAGGAAGGAACAGGAGGCCACTGGAGGCAGGACTGTGGTGGTCCTGGCTAGTCACCTCTCTGAAAGACACATACGCCTGCAGCTCTCTGGCTGCTGTAGGGATGGTGTCCGGGGTCGAGCAGAGTCTGTGAGGGTCTATGTGTGTCACCCAGGCATTGGGTGACCCAGGCAGTGAGGGGCAACTTTTTCTCCAGGCAAGCTTCAGAGGTGTGTGCTGGGCAGTCCTGACCTGGCAGGAGGGAAGGGGAGGGCTGGGCTGCTTGTGGAAGCTGTGTCCTCATATGACTGCCCCTGCAGCTAGGTGTGGATGGACTGATAGTCAGCAACACCACCGTGAGCCGCCCCAGCAGCCTCCGGAGCAGGCAGCACATGGAGCCGGGAGGCCTCAGTGGGAAGCCCCTGCGGGAGCTCTCCACGCAGACCATCAGGGAGATGTACACTCTCACTCAAGGTGATGGCAGAGCAGGGCTTGAGGACGCATGCCAGCATTGCCTGTGCCATCCTGACCCTGCGCCCTGCTTACAGGCCGGGTGCCCATTATCGGCGTGGGTGGGGTGAGCAGTGGGCAGGATGCCCTGGAGAAGATCCGTGCTGGAGCCTCGCTTGTGCAGTTGTACACAGCACTTGTGTACCACGGGCCACCCGTGGTGGGGGCAGTGAAGCGGGAACTGGAGGAGCTGCTGAGGTGAGTGGAGGCCAGGCACATCCCCAGAGAGCTTCTGGTCCTGGGACAGGGCTGGACAGCTGTGTGTTGGTGGCCAAGCAGTGGCACTGTGGGGCTGAGCCGCAGTGCCAGCCCAGTCCCACCACACACTGTCACTGGTTAGGGAGCAGGGCTTCAGGAACGTCATGGAGGCAGTTGGAGCAGATCACCGCTGCTGACATGCTGCACAGTGAAGGTCTAGCTGGGAGGAGCCATGGCTGACCAGGGATGGGTGTGACAATTCCAGTGCTGGGCAGACTGGGACTGAAACAAGATCCTGGTTCCAGCCCCTGGGAAGGGTCTGATGGGTGGAGCAGGGGCTGCACTGGTGGGGAGCAGGGGACAGGGCCTTCATGACAGTGCTGCTTTTCAGGACTGTGCTTTGGCTTCCCTGTGGACAGCAGAACTGAGTGTCAATAAACATTTGGCTCACCTGGTCCTGTGTGCTGCTCTGGGAACACCCCATGGGCTGGAGGGGTGCAGCGTAGCTCTCCTCAACTAAGCAGAATCAGCTCTCCATGTTGCTCGCACTTTTCCTGGTGGGAGAAGCTACTTGGAGCTCTGGGATGGACTGACAAGTGCACCAGGCCTCTCCTGGCAGAGAATTCTGCCTGAGGCCAGGCTCTAGGTGGGGAGGGAAGGCAGAGATGGTGCTGGGTGCCAGTACACAGCTGTTTGGAGATGGCTGCAGTCATGCCCTGTCAGTTGTGGAAAGGGCCTGATCAAAGGTGCTTCTGTTTTTGGTTTTGTCTCTGGGACTTCTGGTGCTGACTTTTCCTTCAGCCCAAACTCACTGCATCTCGGGCTTTTCCTGAGCAACAGCTCGCCCTGCACAAAGCATTCCCTCAGCAGCCTCTCACAATCCACCTTGTAGAACAGGATTGCACAAGAGCACTTCACCAAAATTGTTTACAACTGCTGGGAAACTCCTAGCACGCTGGCTTCCTGTCAGGGCTTGGCAGCTTCCTGCGAACCTCTGCTAGGCTGATGCTAAGCAAGGTGGGGCTGTTTCTGCTTTTTTTTTTTTTTGGGGGGGGGCGGGGAGTTGTGCTGGCTGCAGGCACCAGGGTCCGATCTGGAGCTCATGGGCGGCACCAGGGCGAAGGAGATGGTAATAAAAGGGGTGAGGAGGAAGCCCCAAGCACGGAGGGCCTGCAGGAGGAGGCTGCTATGAGCATGGGGTGAGCAACACCAATATGTCTCTAAATGTGCCCAGTGCTGTGTCTATCCTTGCCTGGCTGAAGACCTGGCCCTTCAGAGGACCAGTGTTGGGCCTGGAAGCAGCTGGGTCCCAAAACTGCAGCCTTGACCTCTGTAGCAGCAGGGTCTAGGTCTGACTCACGGCTGTCTGATGGGCAGCCCCTGGGTACGGAGTTGCTCCTTTTTCCTACCGGGACGGGGCATGAGCCCACAGCTGCGAGCAGAGCAGGAGCGTGGGGCTACCCCGTCCGGTCCCGTCCGCCCGGGCCTCCGCCCCGCGCCCACGTGACCCTGTGGCGGTCGCGTCCGCCGGAAGTCCGCCAGCGCGGCTTGTCTAGCGCTCTAGGGCCTCTATGGTAGCGGCTCTCCCATAGGCTCTGGCCACCGAGTCTATGGTTCGCTTGGCCAGAGGGGCTCCTCCTGCCGAGCGCTGTGGCGCGGCTATGGCGGCGCTCCGGGAGCCGGGTTACAGTCGTTGAAGGAACTGCGGGGCCCGCGCGGCGTTGCGGCCACGATGGCGGCGGCGAGCGAGGAGTCACTGCATCGGCTGTCGGGGACGAGCCCGAGCGGCGAGGCAGGCGGGCTGGTACTGCGGCCGCGGGGCGCCGAGCAGCACGTCTTTAAGGCACCGGCCCCTCGCGTCTCCCTGCTGGGACTGGACGTGCTGGCGGCGCAGAAGCGGCGGGAGCGCCAGGAGGAGGCGGCCGGGGGGAAGCGATCCCGTGTCGCATCCTATAAGGACTGGGAAGAGGGTCGTGACGAGGCGGGCAGCGCCGAGGAAGAGGAAGAGGACGAGGCCGACCGGAGCAGCCGCAGAGCTCGCAGGAACAGGTGGCGTTTGCAGGGCGGTTCCTGGGGCCGCGTCCGGCGGGTAGGGAGCGCAGGATGAGCGCAGTCGGTGACAGCCTCCGGTGTGGGCTGCGGGGCACTGTGGCAGAGGCTGCAGCTGGAGCTATACGAGACCAGCCGAAAGGCAGCTGTTGCTCAGCTCTTCTGAGCATTTCTTCTCTCTGCTCTGCCTGCCCAGACATTACCGTTCTGTCCATGTGGAGACGCCTTCCTACACTGGGGGTGTCAGCGAGGAGTTCTTGGAACGCAGCCGGCAGCGGGAAAGGGAGCGTCGGGAACATGGAGTTTTTGCCTCCTCCAAGGAGGAGAAGGACCGGAAGAAGGAACGCAGTAGGGATCGAGACCACGATCGGAAACGAGACCGTGGTAATTGCTAAGACACCTTTGTGGTTCTTCTTGGTTTGGGTCTGGGCTTGTCCTTTGCCCTGTCTATAGTTTTTACTAATGTTCGTGGTGATTTTTGCAGCAGACTTGGGAAGCCTGTTTGTGCAATAAGCACCTGATCCTATTTTGTTTTTGCAGAGGAGCGGGAGAGGAGTCATCACAGCAGATCAGAGAGGGATGGCTCGTCAGAGCGGAGTGGCAGGAGGAGTGAACCTGAAAGCCCCCGACATCGGCCCAAAGGTGGGAGTGGGACCTGGTAGAGCTCTTTTGTGAGACCTAATAGGGAGAGGCTTGGAGTTTTTTATGCTTCCTGCTGTTTTTGCAGGACAAGAGTGGTAGAAAAGCTTGTACCTTGTAATGTTTGTGGTTAGGGCAAGCATAAAACTTTCAGCTCAGCTTGGGTCTGGGAGCAATGTGCCAGCTGTGTGTGTTTGAAACTCTGGCAGATCTCTGCACGGTAGGGTCTGTTCTGAGTCTGTGTGATGGAAATACGTTCCTTTGGAATTTGCTTGCAACCATTAGGTCCGCCCCTTCTCTTAGAGGGAGGGCCAATGGGTAACCCTCTCTCCATGCTCCTTTTTTAGAAGATGTTAGGCGGCTCCAGGTGCTCAGGGCCACTGTTTGAACAACAGGTGTCAAATCCCATCTCTTCTCACAGATGCAGCCACACCATCTCGCTCCAGCTGGGAGGAAGATGATAGTGGCTACAGCAGTGCCCATCGCTCGCAGTGGGAATCTCCATCTCCCACACCTTCCTATCGAGACTCAGAGCGTAGCCACCGGCTGCCATCGCTGCGGGACACAGACCGGCGGGAGCGGGACAGGTACCAATGCCTGAGGCTGTGCTGTGAGCTGTGGAGCTGCAGAACAGGGACTCTGTGTGTATGAGAAAGGTCTGCCTGTGGGCACCAGTTCTCCATCTGCTGTGTTTCCAGGTCCGTGAGGAGCCGGTACTCTGATAAGACGCCATTGCCGACCCCATCGTACAAATACAATGAATGGGCTGACGACCGGAGGCATCTGGGAGCCACGCCACGCCTGTCCCGAGGGAGAGGTGAGGAATCTGGGCTGAGCTGCCCAGGGTAGGCAATGTGGAATCCCCTTTCCTGTGGCACAGAGTTGGGGTTTCCTTGGGAACTCTTTGGACCGTCTGGCTCACCCCAGGGCGGCGCACGGAAGGGGAGGAGGGCATCGCCTTCGAGACAGAAGAGGAGCGGCAGCAGTGGGAGGATGACCAGCGGGTGAGAGCCTGGGACAGGCCAGGGGCTTGGGGCCACCAGGCTGTGGGGAATGGGCAGAGCTCAGTGCTGTACCTCTGCCTTCCCAGCAAGCTGACCGGGACTGGTACATGATGGATGAAGGCTATGACGAGTTTCACAATCCTTTGGCTTACTCCTCTGAGGAGTACGTGAAGAAGCGCGAGCAGCACTTGCACAAGCAGAGGCAGAAGCGGATCTCGGCACAGCGGCGGCAGATCAATGAGGTAAGGCCAAGAGGCAGGGTTGGCTGCTCTGGACACGTGCGGTTGGCTGCCTCTTGAAAGATCCACTTGTTGAGCCCTTGCTCTCAGGTGGAGTAAACTCTCAGGCCAGGCTGAATGAGTGCTCCCAGGGAAACTCGCTCAGGCTCACTAGGTTTGAACCATTCTGTTGCCAGTGCAATGCCCAGGACAAAGCTTGGTGTGCTGGTGTGATCTCTGTGACTTTCTGTGTGGCTTCACTGTGTTTCTGATGTGTTGTTTCCTGCAGGACAATGAGCGCTGGGAGACAAATCGCATGCTGACCAGTGGTGTGGTCCATCGGATTGAAGTGGACGAAGATTTTGAGGAGGATAACTCTGCTAAAGTGCATTTGTTGGTGCACAATCTAGTGCCCCCTTTCCTAGATGGAAGGATTGTCTTCACCAAGCAGGTAGAGACTATGGCTGAAAGCACTGATGGCAGGAAGCCATCAGTACATGTGAGGCCTTTTTAGTGAAGTAATGCCTTTTCCCTGCAGCCAGAGCCAGTCATCCCTGTGAAGGATGCCACCTCGGATTTGGCCATCATAGCTCGGAAAGGCAGCCAGCTGGTGCGCAAGCACAGGGAGCAAAAGGAGCGTAAGAGGGTATGCTGCAGCCCTTTGGCTACTGCCCACTGTGCACGTTAGGTAGTTCCTCACAGCCCTGTTTGGACTCTGCAGCATTCAGGCTTTGGCAGCAGGAGTTCATATGTTTGTGAGCTGGGACATCCTGGCAGCCCAGCTTACTGCATTGCCTCATAGCAGCTGCTGTGGTGAGATTTTCTTGGGCGCTGCTTTGGGACATGAATCACTGCATTTGGACATTTGGATTATGGGAGAAGGAAGCAGATGGAAGAATGTCAGGTAGCTTAGAGACTGTCAGCAGGCAGTGTGGCAGCAGGATGTATCTTGTCATGTCTCAGCAGAAGAGTTGTAATGAGGAGGAGTATGGGGTAAGGTAGCGGATTAGTTTTTGGGGATGTTTTCTAGGAACTTTCTCTAAAGCTCACACAATAGCTGTGGGGAAAGTACAGATATGTTCCTTGTACATTGAAACTGGGCTGGATTTGACCTTATACTATGAGTGGAATGGTGGTGTAGCTAAACTCACAGCAGAGGTGGGAGGAAAGCCTGTGAGCGCTTGGCAAGGGCAGGAAGATTATCTGGTTCAGATCTGTGTAGGTTTAAGTTCAAATTTAATGCAAGAGTCAGCAGCTGGAACTATTTTCTTAGGAGGCAGTTGGTAATCCTTTGTCTGTAGTCTCTATGTCCATTCTAGCGTCTTAAAGCTCTGCTTCAGTTCATTTGGAAGAGGGGAACGTGATGTAGGAATGGAATGTGCATTCTGCATTGGGGAACTGTGGTACTAATATCCTTTTCCTAATCTTAGGAGTAGGATTGGGGAAGAATTTTGTCTGTGCTTGCTGTGGCAAAATTATGCTACTCTCACTCCTTTTAGGCTCAGCACAAACACTGGGAGCTGGCAGGCACCAAACTGGGAGACA